ATACCATCAATACTCCGTGAATACTTCGTAAAAACATCAGCAATACTTCGTAGATACTCCGTGAGAGCTCCTGCAATACTCCGTAGATACCCTACGAAAACACCGAAGATACTCCGTGAAAAAACCGGCAGTACTCTGTGAAAACTCCGTTAAAACACATGTAATACTCGATAAAAACTCCGATAAAATTCCATCGAAATTTCGTGTTGCAACTGCACACGAAACTCCGTGTTTCCGTCGCTACAACGCTGCTTAAACTCCATCGATACTCCGAGTATCAGCCGAATTTACTTGGAGTTTTGACGGTGGTGCCTAATCCGCTAGGGAAGTTATTTTTATTTGATTTTATGTATTACGAAGAAGTTCAATTGTTTTACAACTAATAGTTATGAAGAAAATAAAATTTTTGTTTCGGAATAATCATACAAAGCCATACATGATCAGGTAAGGTTGTGCTCACTCATTCAGCTTAATCACAAATGTTCATACGTGATCGAGCTTGATCAAGCTTGAATTATGCACGATCAGGCTTGATCAAGGAAGATTCTTGTATGGTCATACTCATACATAAAAAATGATACAAACTTTATACCATTATTCGTTGTAGAGATTCAGATTATTTTGATTTTTCATTCGGTTTTTAACATCCCGCTAAGAAAATCGAAGATTTTCAAAAATCGGGAAGTTATTGTTTTCACCGCGTTTTGCAAAAATCGAGTTTTCATCAGATCTCGACGTTTGAAGGTCATAGGAAACTTCCCTGGCTATCCCCGCGAGGTTGTCACTATGTCTGTATGTATGTGTAAGGTAAAAGTCCCTATTATGAGACGATGTCCCCATTTATGATACACTACATAAAAATACTATTTTATAAAAAAAAACACACCGCTAGCATACCAAAAGTATAATAAATATATTATTTCATCTATTCCAAAAGCAATTTTCGACTTTGGTTGTTAATTAATTCCATACTGTTTTTTAAAAATATTTATTAAAGTGCGAGGTTTGTTATCTGTGCTCAAAGCCACGACCGAGAATAGTAAAACGACAACGGCTACCTAGTTTTTTATATTAGTGTAATTTCATTGTGTCTTCTACTTTTATATTAAATTGTAGATCAATTAAAAGCTGATGAGTAATAGACTTTATTTCTATACACATTTATGCGTTTTTTTTATTACAATATTTTAAATATGAATGTCTCACAATACCTACACTTATTTACGTGAATGCACCGGTTTATGAGACACTTTTCTCGGTGTATAGTGTAATACGGACATATGTTTTTCGGCTTCTCCCGATTAAGTGAGACAGTGTACATTTATAAGATTTTATATTGCTAATATGTGATATTAATTATAAAAATAGTATAATTATATGTTATAAAATATTGGCTACTATTAAACCTCAAATATTTTTCTAAAAGTAAGTATTTTAAGTCAAATAGTTTTAGATCATGAGCCTAACCTCAAATCATAACATAGAATAACTTTGTCAACAAGTTTTTCTGTTTTTTAATTAAATCTTTTGGATAAATTTATAATATTTTTTTGTATATTGATTCTGAAAATATATTATTTATTTCTTATTATTTCAGAGTAAGTAAAAAATAAATTATAAAAAAAAGCTGAGATAATGAAGCATAAACAAAATTCCAAAGTGACAAAAACTCAATCATCAAATTCAACCAAAAAAAAAAAAAGTGTTGTGTTCCAATATGAATAATAAAATGAAGGAAAAAAAAATTAAAAGGATTAAGTAATTATAATTCGTGAAATATAAAAAAAGCTCTAAAAGCAATGGAAGACACAGAGTTGTCCTTGAGAAAAGCAGCTGCTGTTTATGGAGTACCGATTGTTACCCTTGCTAAATGAAAAAGTATTAGTCCTAAGAAGGCAAAAATTAGAACTGGGCCAGTGACAGTGTTATCTTTAAAAGAAGAGGATGTTATTGTTCAGTGGGTGTTGTACAGAGCAGTAATAGGGTCACATGTGACAAAAACTGAATTATTGAAGACGTATAACAATCCGTTACTGTCTTAGACAATCATTTTAATGTGATAAACTGTGAACAAAATAATTTAATTAATGATGAACAATTTTTTACGGTTACATATGAATCTAATCAAGTTAGTCTTCAAGAATCATCAATTGATAGCAATAACGTAATACAGTGCACTTCTAAAGACTTCAGTGAAGACAAACTAATTGATCAAACTATCTCTACTGATGATGGGGACATTTGACTTTAAAGTGTCTCATAAATAGGGTCATGTAGGTTCCCCAAAAAAACCATAATTTAATTAATTTTTGACCAAAAAAACTATAAAAACAATATGAACATTGATTTAATGATCATCAAATTATCGTATAATGCGAATAAAAGTGTATTTTTTTCTTAAATGGATTAATTACTCGCAGGAATGTTCAACCTACCTTGAAAAGTGTCTCATAATAGGGACTTTTACCTTATGTGTGTGTATTAGACTGTGCCAAATAAATCGACTATTTTTTTTTTTTTCGGTCTCATATCAAAATTTCGTTGAGAGTGACGAAAAAAAAATTGTGTCAAAATTTGAGCCCTCTATCTTCATTTTTAAGTTAGCGCTCGCAAAAATAAGAATTTTCGCCAAAAAAAGTTTTTTTTCACTTATTTTTCGAATATAGAAAATTCAATATACCGAATACGAAAAAACGCTTGGTATGATTTTGTAGGAAATTAAATTCTCTACGAAGAAGATTTTTTATCGATCTTAAAAAATCAATAGCTTTTTTTTATAGCTGATTAGTTTTTGAGATATTTTTAAAAAACTAAAGCCTTTTTTTTCAGTTATTTGTTAATAACTTTTGCAATTTTTACAAGTGGAACTTCATTTTTTTCAAAAATCATCTAGATGCCATTCCGAATCGAATGACAGCTCAATAATAATTTTTGGAGACTGTTGAAAAAAGTTAACCAAAAAGGCACTTGTTGGCTAGACTACAACGACCGTTTTGAGTTACGAGCGCTACAAAAAAATCTGTTGACGAATAAAAATGTCAGAAAAAGATATGTTTTATTAATTTTGAAGCATAAATAATTTTTAAGTCAATGAGACTCATAAATAAAAAATTACGAAAAAATTAATCTTTTTGTCTTCATTATTTTTGTTAATAAAATTATTTTTAACTTCTATAGTGCTATACTACAATCAATTAAAGCATAAAAACTATTTTTTTAGATCATAAATATTCCTAGAAAAATTGTATTAATCAGTTCTTTTCATTAAAAAGTAGTTTTACACGTGTTCATCAATAATTGAAAATAAAAATTATCGAACAAATTGTAATTTAATCAGCTATAAAAAAAAAGCTATTGATTTTTTAAGATCGATAAAAAATCATCTTTGTAGAGAATTTAATTTCCTACAAAACCATACCAAGCGTTTTTTCGTAAAAAACTTTTTGAAAAGTGGTTTTTTTGGAATAACTTTTAAACGGCTTTACCGATCAATTCCAAAAACTAATGAGCTCTTAACATCAAAAAACCGCGTCGATCGCCGCCAGTCCGGTCAAAATCGGTTGATTCGTTCGTGAGTTATCGTGAACGAAAGAAAACCGAAAAAAGTGTTTTTTCGGGATTACTCTGAAATTTTCGGTTCGATCAATTAAAACCTGAAAATAACTTATGAGGATGATAAAACTGCGTCGAATAGCGCCATCCGCGTGAAAATTGGTTGATCCATTCAAAAGTTATTGCGGTTTGAAAATTCCAAAAATAGTGTTCTACACTGATAAAAAAATTGACTTGACTCAAGAGCCAAACTCTTGAACCAAGAATACCATTTTGAAGAAAATGATTTTCTTGTCAAGAGAATAAATTTTTGAGTTAAGAAATTATTCTTGATTCAAGTAAATATTTCTTGTCTCAAGAATTTATTCTCTTGGCACAAGAAAATCAGTTTTTTCAATATGGAATTCTTGGTCCAAGAGTTTGGCTCTTGAGTCAAGTCAATTTTTTTATCAGTGTATATGAAACTTCTATCCGACTTTTGAGCTGGGAGAGCTCAAATGCATTGAAATATTATTTCTTTGAACTCAGCGAGCTCAAAATATCACATAAATTATATTTTGAGCTTAAAAATCTCAAAAATGTCATAAGTACAATTTTAAGCGCTCATGAATGGAATTAGCAGGAAGTTGCACGGATGGCCTTGAGGGTGAACCGTTTTTCTAATTTTTTTACATCAACTTCTCGCTGATAAAGTCAACAAAATATTGAAGTTATGTTAAAAAAACAAAAACACTTTTTCCAAATTTCTTAAAATCAATTATCTCACGAACGCATCGACCAATTTTGACGAAATTGGCGGCTTTCGACGGAGTTTTTTTTAAGCATTAATCGTTAATTTATAACATCAAAAATTATTCTTGGTTCAAGATTTTGGCTCTTGAGTCAAGAAAATTCTTTTATCAGTGTGACTATTTCTACGAGGATGTCAGTATGTCTTACTTGATAGCATTTATAAGGGCTTTATCAAACTTTGATTTTCAATGCTATTTAACCCGATTCGGACCAGTAGATTTTAAGAACTTTCAAAAATAAAATTTCCAAAAAAATGTTTTTTTAATATAACGTCAAAATATTACGTTGAATCGTTTGGTAGGTAATGATTAATCTTTTTGTGCTTGAAAAACTGAGGTGAATGCTGCAAGTTCTCTCAAAAACGATTGATTCGTTCGAAAGATATCGCAACTAAAAGTTCTCAAAACAGTATGTCCTCAACAACTACTAGAATTTCGAGCTTTAAAATGAATGAAAGTTCGAAACGTTCAAAACTTCGGAATATACAATTTTTCGAGTGTTGTGTACATGGCGGAAAGTTCCAGAGATGGCCTGCAGGGTCAAACGTTTTCCAAATTTTTTTTCATGTTTTCTTACTTTAATAACGATAAATTTGTCGATATTTTTATAGGTTGTAATTCAAGACACCTACTAGTTGCGCAATATATGTCATCAACATGGAATCATTTTTTGATCAAGAACGATTTAATTCTCACATATTGCCTACTATTTATAAATCAATCGATATTTTATCTATGAAACTTAAAACTGTTGCTCAAAGATTAAAGAAGGGAAAGAGAAAACGAAAAAATAATTTAACTAAAGAATCAGATAATTATGATGATTTAGATGAATTAAAGAAAGTCACTTCTAAAATACCGAATATCGAACATGATACTCATACTCAAGGTGAGACTTCAATGAATTTAGGTAAAGAAATTCTCTTTGACGAAACAGATAAAAAAGACAATATCAACAACCAAACTGAGTCAGACTTAAGTGAATCACATGTGTTTCATGGGGAAGATAATTTGGAGGAGGAAAATACTGATGATTCTTCACTTCTTATGGCTAATTCAATTAGCTATAAGCAGCTTATTATTGGAACTCTTCGACTTATTAGTTATATTTATCGATCACCAAATGTAGCTTATGAAAATTCCGATTTCATTATGAAAAATGGAAATATTGATTATTTATTGCTGAAAAAAATATCTGTACCTTTGATCAATCAATTGTTTAATTCATACCATGAATTTGGTAATAAATTTTTTTTCATAAACCGTAGAAAGAAAGTTTCTAAAGACATGCGTACAGTTATGAGTCATTCTACTGTTGCAATGAATTTTTTATTTAAACTGATTTTCGAAATTTCTCCATGTGCATTGGTGTCTGTTCTATTTATGTATATACAAAATGATGATTATGCAAAGTCATGTTGTTCAATTCTGCGAGATTACTTAATTCCTTACATCACTAAATTCAGTCGCTTGCGACATGAGCAACTCGTTTACGAAATGCGATTGCGACAAATGATCACTGACAAAGATTATATGCAACTCTTTGAAATTTTAAAAGTTGATATTGAACGAGTAATTTATAGAAAATATCCTCTCCCATTCAATCTCAATAATAATTTAAAGGCATTACATATACTTAAATATCATATGTACAAGAGAAATACGAAAAGTATTCACTATTATGAATCTGAAGAAGCTGTTCAACTTATGTCAAAAAAAGGAGAAAAATCTTCGTTAATAGTGTTTGTACGAGGTATGTGTGTGTTCATATTTGATGTTCTAGAATGCAATGGAGAAAATGTAGAAGATAAAAGTTGGGCTGAACGCTTGATGCTATACCAACCCTTTCTTAAAGAACGATGTGAAAATATAATAACTGTTACTGAAATCCATGAATCGGAACTTGATTCTCTAATAAAGCGACCAACCTTCATTTACGTAAAAACATGTGGATTGGGACTCGGCACTTTTTTCTGCACTTTTCACAAATATGAACGAAAAGGGCGAAGAACATCGACGATTACTGAGCTTCCGCGCTATAATCCATCTATTACGCATCAAAATCCATCAGTAAAACCAACAACACATTTCAAAAAAAACAAATTTGCAATTATTGATCAGTTATAAAAACTGAGACAATGATCAATACTTTGAGTTATAAACAAAAAAAAATTAAATTAACTTAATTTTTTTTAACATTGCAAAAAATTTTGTTTTTCATAAAACTATGTTATGAATAAAATTTTCAATTGTTTATAACGTTAACTTTTCAAAATAATTAATGAAGAGTTTTTAATTTTGAAGAACAATAAATGTGTAGTAAAATTTATCGAATCTCAAAAATAATAACTTAAATTTTTTCAAAAATGTTGGTTAAAAAGAGATTATTCTTTCTTCCTTTCATACAACAAGTGTAACATCCCAGACAACATCCAAGTCAGAAGGATTTCTTAAAGATGTCTTTTCAAAGACTTCCTTGAGAACTCCAAATATGACGTCTTAAAGACCTCATTTTTCGGAACTCTTAATTAAGAAGTTTTTAAGAAGTTTTTTTTTAAGTTCTATAAGACATCACAGATATGAGCTCTTTGAGGTCTTTTTTCCGACTTCGTAAGAGGTCAAAAAAATGAGCTGTTTAAGAGGTCTTTTTTTGGACTTTCCAAACATCAGAAATATGAGCTCTTTAAGAGTTCTTTTTTTCAGACTTCGTAAGACATCAAGAATAGGAGCTCTTGAATAGGTTTTTTTTTCTGATTTTGTACTTCGTCAAAATATGGGACTTAAAAAAATTTTTTTCACGTTATTGAAGAATTTTTAAAATGATAAAAAAATAAAAATAATCGCATTCGAGTGAACTCATTTCGCTGTGTATTTATTTTTGTATTATAAAAATATTATCGTAAATAGCAAAACGTTCAGTGATTCTACTTATTAAAAATTAAATCGAAAAGTATTTTTTTTTATTTTTGGGTAGAAAAGTTAATATCAAGTTTTTTATCGTTGCTATAAGTCGTTTATAATCTTATGTAAACATAAGAGCTTATGCAGAGAAAAAAAATTTACTATCTCATTAGGAACAGCTAGCCAAGGCAGACCAGAGGACACCACATCACTGAAGTTAAGACGCATTAGTCATGATAAATACTTGGATGGGTGACCGCTAGTAAAATCGTATTCTAAGCTGCGAGCGATACCATTTTTTTTTTTTTATTTCGAAGAAAATATATTTTAATGTACTTGATTGTCTTCAATTTAAGCAGCTCTTTTTTAATATTAATTACAATACAATTAAAACTGAAAATGTCTCCTCTATAAACTATTTTATTCTGTTTCTATGAAGTCCTGATTCACTCTTTAGGTGGCGCATTGGACGTCCTCAAAACGTCTTGGAGACCTCATTTTGATCAAAATTTTGACGTCTAAATCTTAAATAAGAGTTCGTTGAGAACTGTAAAAGACGTCATATTGCTATCTGGGATAATTAAATTACGAAAGTGGTTAACCAAAACTAAAAATATCATTAGTGACAGTCTAGAACCCTAGCTTTAGGGGTTAGGTGGGTTTCAGAGGTTCAAAAAAAGGGTATTTTTACTTTTTTTTTTTTAGTATGTATAATCATATATTTTATTTAAACAATTCACCATATCAAAGATACATATTTGAACAGTATTTTGTGACATTTTTATTTAAAAATTTCGAAAACTTAGCCGTTGGTACCTCATCTCCCTTAATGTCGCAAAAAAAAAAAACAATTAGAAAAACGGTAGACCCTGAAGGCCATCCCTGCAACTTCTCGTTAATTCCATACCTAGGTGCTTAAAATTGCACTAATGATGTTTTTGAGCTCTCTGAGCTAAAAAATACAATTTATGTGTTGTTTTGAGCTTTTCGAGCTCAAAGAGATAGCTGTTTCATAAAACAATATTTTTTGAATTTTCAAACCGCAATAACTTTTGAATGGACCAACCGATTTTCACGCGGTTGGCGGCATTCGACGCAGTTTTTTCAGCCTCATAAAGAATTTTCAAGTTTAAATTGATTAAATTAGGAAATTTTGAGTAATTCCAAAAAAACACTTTTTTCGGTTTTCTTTCGTTCACGATATCTCTTGAACAAATCGACCAATTTTGACCGGCTTGACGGCGATCGACGTATTTTTTTTTATCTTAATAGCTAATAAGTTTTTAAAATTGATTGGTGAAGCCGTTTAAAAGTTATTCCAAAAAATTTCGAAGTTATGTTAAAAAAACACTTGTTTCCAAATATTTCGTCGAGGACATCTTTCGAACCAATTAACCGATTTCGACGTTCTTGGCGGCGATCGACGCAGTTATTTAAGCTCTAAAAATTGTTCTATTTCATCGAAAGCGATCCGAAAAGAAATGTCGAAGTTATGTGAAAAAAACACTTTTTTCGGTTTTCTTTCGTTCACGATATCTCTCAAACGAATCAATTGATTTTAACCGGATCAGCGGCGTTCGACGTGGTTTTTCAAGCTCAATGGCGGATTAGTTTTTGGAGTTGATCGATAGAGTCATTTAAAAGTTATTCCAAAAAAACCACTTTCAAAAAAAAATTTTTTCTTAGTTTTTTTTTGAGATTTTTCAAAATTTCTCAAAATCTATCGGTCCGAATCGGTTCAAATTCATAGGAAATTTAAGTTTGAGGGAACTCTTTAGAACGCCGTTTGATAGGTTCCGATCGGTTTAGTCGTTCAAGAGTTATAAGCGAGTCACATCACATCGAGTTATAAGCAAATCAGCAATTAACACGATATCAATAGACGGATGTATAATATAAATAATTAATTTATCCATGTAAGAATATTAAAAGTGAATTAATTTCTTATTTTTGTTTAAGTCCCTTGTCTATACCCGTTTTATGTTTGATGGATAATCTTAGACATAACGTAACTTTAAAATTACTTAGAAATTACTCCACACGATTATATCGACTAGTTGAAGAAGTGAATTATCGGTCATTACAATGTAGAAGGTTCTTTCCCGTCCTATTTCTTATCCCACACCTTCCCTTAAATATTTAGATGCTTTTATATTACACAACTTTTTGCATCTCTTTAAAATTATATAGCTTAACTCAGAATGTTAAAATTAATTATGTTTCTGTCACTATATAGTGCAATTTCCAATATGTCTCTTAGCGAGATATATTTATTATAGCTAGCTGAGATAAAATAATATTATTTATTATAATTATATTACAGTTTTTTTATTGTATTTTTTAATCTGTATTAACATTTATGTAACTTTTGTTTGTGGAAAAATAAAAATAAACTTAAAAAAAAAAAAACAATGTAGAAGGTTATTTTTTGAATTATGAAAATATTTTATCATTTGATAATTTATATCTAGATTTCCTCTTTCTGGCAGTTGTCACTTTCCATCTATTTTGTTTATCGTAAGATAAATCGGTCATACATTTCCGAAAACCTCTATGAGCACGAGCCAGCAGAATTTTTCCAAGATGTTTTCTAATAGTTTCTTCTACTGACCAATATTGAGCAAAGAGTTATTGTCCAGTTATGTGTGTCCTGCTAGAATATAAATATTATAGGCTGGTGAATTGTGGGTACCGATCAATCTAAGTCTATGTGATATCTGCTAAAATTCAAAATTTTTTGTTTTTATATTTCAGCTTACTCTTCACTATTTGTTTACATTATTTCAGCTTTTTATCTTTCACCGCTAGCCTTTGATGTAATGATAGAGTTTACTGATCTATATTTCTCTCACGCTGAAGAAATCTTTTATTTTCTTACTTTATAACCTTATTTTTCGTGAAATGTTTCGTGTGATTCAAATATTAATCATCATTTAATAATTCTATTGAGGTTATTATTAAACTAAAAAGAAGAGTAACTGATGCAACGCATGTTAGATTTTGTTCACCGTTATAAACGTTATCAAGCCCATTCGACTCTGTCGAGTCGAGTCGTACCTATACGATAGACCATGAACGTGTGTGTGTGCAGAGTAGAATCATGCATGTATTGTACTATACAATTACATCTATATCTGTTGAGAGAGAGCGTGGGCGTACGAAATCAGATGACTATATCTATATATCAGCTCTAGCTTCAACGAGAATTTTCTCGAACAATTTCGGGAAACATCGTAGGCGACAAGTTGCGGCGGATGCGCAGAACGGTATAGCACCGATCGGGGCCGTATAGGAAAAACCAAATTTACTCTGGCGGTAGCCAGTACCACCAGTTGCTCTGAGGCCCTTGAATCAGCAGTAATTTTTACGCAATCGCTCTCGCATATTACGCATCATACAGTACAATTGAGATATTCTCAAAAATCACATCGTTTAACATCATTTTACTTATTATCATTCGAATCATATTCATTGAATTCAATTACTTTCGGTAAAACGCAAATTTATAGAAGTTACACGGTAATTCGGACTAACGCCATACATCCGAGCTCTCTCTCACTCTTTTGGGTATTGACGGCCTGTGGTTTTGATCGTGCCTCCTTGGCTGTGATCGTTTCTCTCTCACACACACATACATACAATTTAACAGCACTCTCCAGACGAGTCATCAGTATTCGCCTACATTTGGCAATACGCAGTAAGCACTCTCCAGAAGAGTCATCAGTATTCGCCTACATTTGGCAATACGCATTAAACTATTCTCACCAAGAGATATTTTATTATTCAATAGCTCAGGTCCTTCCTGACGAAAAAACAATAGCTCAGGCCCGATCCTGACTAAACAACAATTACACATTCACACACATTTTTTTCTTGTAATTATCATCGAGGAGGTTTTTTATCTGATCATCAAATTTTTCCTCCTCTGGGACAATAAATTTCTTCCTGCTGTCCCAAACATCGAGTGTAATTTAATTAAAATTCCTATCCATTTACACTAATAATCAAAATCAATTCTTGAAAAACTGAAGCACGAAATCACGGCGCTTTGACGAGGTTTCGACAAAACAGACTCGCTCTCAAAGCTTTACAATATTGTCTAGCGTTACCAAGTTTTCGTGATACCCTTTTCTTCACTCTTAAGGGGGTATTCTGGTCTAGAAGCCTAAATATTAGGCATTTTTCAAAATAACATAAAAAAAAAAAGGAAAAACATTTTTATTATA